AACTTGAATCTTCCAATTTTTTTTGGATAATTTCTCTACAACGCTTTTAATGTAAAGTCGATTTTCCTACAAAATAAATTTTGAATTGGTTTACATAATTAATAAAAAATTCAATTATTTTTTAAATAACTCATTATAATAAAAATCGAGTTTTGAAGAAAAATTTAAGAGATACCTCTCCAACATGTTCCATCAATTCAACTGTTGAACAACGAAGTGTCTGTTATGCTACTTCACCAAGCATAGTAGCAGCTAGTTTTTCAGTATTATCGTCCAATTCAACATATCCCCTAACACTTTAAGAGAAATATTGTAAAAAATTCTAATGTATAAGTTCAAATTTCATTCTCAATTATTCCGTCGATAGCTCAAATTGCACCTGTAATGTATACATACATTAACAATTTTTTATCTCGTTCGTAAATAAACTAATTTCTATCAATCAAAATTCTCAAATTCATCTGGGTGACAAATTGCTCGGAGTGCAGAAATAATTCAATTTACAATTATTTGCCTTAGTCCATCTCTTATGAATCATCATTTAAATTTAAAACCAGATAAATTAAATAGAATAACATCAATTCCTAAATGAATTCAGCTTTATTTTGCAAATTAAAGCACCCCGCAGCTACCAATAATTAATTAAACCAATTAGCCATATTTCATCATAAAAATTACACCTTGAAACTGAATCGCTTAGCATATTTCCTAGAATTCGACAAATGCGAAACATTAATATGCAAATATTAGAATGAAAGGAACATAACCTTGGCCTCCTCATCAATAGCGGAGACGAGATCGGATAAGAGATCAAAGCAGAGAAGTGGGTCTGGTGGCTTGTGGGCTGCTGAAGCCACTGTAAATTCCAGCTGCACCACGAGCACGTCGAATCTAGACAAGGGCACGTTGTCTCTCACATCGTTCCTCGCCATATTCAAGCAAGCTGGCCTGTGATCTGGGATGAAGAATTAACAAACGGAAAGATGTTCCCGGGCAATGACATTTTTGGTTGATGGATTTGTTTCACTGTGATCTCGCTGGGTGTTGGAGGAGATAAGCTTTAGGCAATTTTTAGTTTTCGGAATAATGGTTTTCAGGGTTTGAAAAATAAGAAAGAGTTCTTGGTTTCTATGTGAGGGAAGCAATCAAAAAGAAATTGTGTGAGGGAAAGCTAGAACGTGCTGTGAATCAAAAACTCAGTGTCCTGTATCTCACATCGGAACTTCAATTATTGGGTTGAAAGATGAATAGTTCAAAATTTGTATTATATTTATATTTATTAATTATTAATAAACAATAAAAAACCGGTGGAACCGAATAAACCGGTTTTAGGTTAAAAAAATTGTAAAAAAATTAAAATATGTAGTAGTACAGAGTCTTTTGCATTTTTCATTCATTTATTATTAGATAATGAAATTTTAATAGACACAATATCAATGGCCACAAATGGTGACTTAATTGCTATATTTAATGGAAACAATAAAATGAACGGTGAAAAAAGATTTTTCGTTAAAACAAAAAATTCCGTTAGATTTTCCGTTAAAATAAGAAATTTCGTTTCATAAACACTTTATATATATAAATATATATATATGTTCAACAAATAATCCACCCCAGCCCAAATATAACTCTACCTAGAATAAAACATAATTAATTCTGAACTATTTAAGATTTTGAGAATTATACCTTTAGTATTTGTGGATTATTTTCGAGTTCTTTTTCTATTTTTCTTACTTGATTAGTGCCAAGCACGCATTTGGTACAAATTCTTTAAAATTCAATTCTAATTATATATTATTTCAATAAAATAATTTTACATGTAAATTCATAATTTTTTTTCTACTTTTTAATCAATCTTTCTTAAAATAAATTACTTCCCACAAAATTTGCAAGTCCCTAGTCGAGCTTTGTTTTTGGGAGAAAATAAATTTTGAAATAGTAATTTTTTAAAAAAAATTTGATTAAAAAATAGCGAAATATTTTAAATTTACGTGTTAAATTATTTTATAATAAAACATGTAATTAAGAAAGAATAAAAAATAACAATAATAAATTTTAAGAACAACGAAGCTAAGGGTGTGTTTTGAAGTGGGGGGAAAAGTGGCCCCTTTATTTGGCTTTTCTACTTTGTCTTGGCGCCAAGGATATAATTTGGAACCGGCGGCATGCTTTCATTTAATCGGCGCTCAGATTTCGATTGCATTTTGCAAAGATGATCAAATCACACACATCATTCAATCTCCATTGTCACACTCCTTCCAATTCTTCTCGCCACTGGTCGCACACGTGGATTGGCCTATCTTCGCTGCGATTCGCTCAGCCGAATCCAATTCATCGCCGGCGAATCCATAAAACATTTTGTACGAACGTTCCGTTAAATTCACTGACAAAAAATGATAATAACGACATTCATTTATCGATCGAAGAAATTAAAGTGCCATCTGGTTTGTATTTTCTTAACCCTACCTTTTCATAGCTAAACATGTATATTTCTGTATGATATCAATTTTCAATTATTATTCAGGCTCTCTGTCTGTTAAAACTATGACATGGATCAGTGTGGCTACTCTTACGAGCAAAATTCTGGTAATGCTCAACTATTTCATAGACTTCGGTAATTTTGTTATGTTTTTTAGTGTTCTATGTAGTGCTATTGTATCTATTGCCTCAGTAGAAATTACGTTGACTAATGTAGGGATTAATTAGGGAGGTTACAATGGCTTCAGCTTTTGGTGTTGGTCCTGTTGCCACGGCGTTCAAGTACAGTAATAAATTCGTCATTTCTAGCTTGACTGTACATATAAATTTGTGATATAACCGTTAAATACAATTTAGAAGAACTTTATTTATTTTTTGACTGTTGTTGGATATAACCTTGCAGGTATGCTTGGGTTTTGCCTGGTTTCTCTTCATCGCTCCTTGGCGGTTTGTTATCTCAAACAACTTGTATTTAAGAATAAGATGTTGTTAACTGATAATATGCCGAATTTCTTAATTGTCTATCATATCTGCTTGCTTGTGCATTTCTGATACTTTAATGTTGGTTTCGTCCCATTTATTTTGGATTCAGGATTGCTATGAAGAATAAATTGTTGCTAGTTTCATATCTTTTGATGTCTTGAGGACAAATTTGATTTGAAATTTAACTTTGTCTATGAAAATATTAAGCCTCAAAGACCTGATGCATGAAGTTCAACATCGTATTATTTTCTATATGTATAGCATTTGATTTCTGTTAAATATTTTTGAATGATTTTCTATTGTACAGGTGTCAATGGTCCCATCCATATTATTATGGCAACCACTTTAAGGTAACACATCCTTCCTTATATCCTGTCACATTACCTAGCTTATAAACTTGTTTTCAGATGTGGCAATGGTTCTTGTATACTGCTACATGAAGCTCAGTCACAGTATATATACACTTGCATGACAGGGTCACTCTAAGTGGGCTTCCTTTTTGTCCAGTGACTGAGGAATTGAGTTCTCTGCACATGTTTACATGTTTTACCTTTTTATGGTGATAGAATAAGCAGACATAAATCTTGAAATGTTAGCTTTCCGTCATTGCGTAGACACAATGGCAGGGATCCAAAATTAGTGGCCTAATGTTATCATTTTCTTTAAAGTTTTAAAGGAACAGTGTAATACTTTTCTACTTTAGTGGTGGTTATTATTGACATGTTATTAGTGAGTTTGAAATCTATGAATTTGATGATTAATCAGTAAACTCCCGAAGCGCCGCCGAGAAAAACTATTTCAACATACGGTCACCATTATGTTTCTGGTACGCGTTGTAATTTTTTGCTAGACACGTGCATATCTCTAGAAAGTCACAATGAAGTTGATGCTAACTAGTGATGCTTTGCAGGTAGGAGCTGTTGTGGGTACTCTCGTGTGCATATTTTCTGAGTTCATAATTCATATGTATGCACCTGGGTAAGGAGGTTATTAAATTGTTTCTAGAAAAGGTTGATAAATATTTCACATACATTTTATATGTTTCCGAAGTGGCAAAGATACAGCCTATGAGGTGACAACTTGAGTTTTTAGAAATTTGTCATCTTTTGTGAATCTCGTGTTTTTGGCACTTGGAATTAGCACGTTTAAATTTTATTGGAGTTGAAAAGTGAATATGCATATAGTTTAACGTTATTTTACTTAGTCCTTGGATAGAAGACGGGACAGATTCACAAACTTGGGACAAGTATTTGTCGTTATATTTAATGCATCTATCAGGCTGACCGCTTTTCAAATGCTATCATTCATTCACAGTTTGTGGATCTTGGCAGAAGGCCGAATTGTAAGAGAAATAGCTATCGAGCAGGTAATTATGCTCATCCAAGTATTAAAAAACACAATAGTATTCTCTCTTGATATTGTGAAAAAAAAATCTAGATGTCTTTATTTTGTTGTGGGACATCACACATTAATCCTCACTTTTCAGAAGTAAATTCTTCATTTTTTGATTCCAAAGCCATCCATGTAATAATAATCACAGTTTTGTATTTTCTGCATATCTAAATTTAAGTTGTTATCACTTTATGTCTTTCACATAAGCAATAAATTGAAAATTATGAAAAACACGAGACTTTGCATTCCCTGCCTATTAAAGAATTGTGGTTATGTAGTTTTATGTTAAAAGGGTTTTCAATATTCTTGTATTCCAACTTGAGGTCTTTTTCAATTTCATTTCCATTGAACCCAGCCCAGCGTAGTGTTGCCTGGTGAGTGTCTCCTCCCAACACACCAATTCGTTTATGATTGATCAACTGCAAATCATTTCTGGTCACCTGTGACAATCTTAACAACTCATAAACTAGTCATCCGTGTCCACAAACATTTATTTAACATGCTTATCCCGCTCTCTTTTTCTTAATCATTTATTTTCTATTGTTCCCTGTCCAGTTGAAAATAATGACTCCGTGTATAGTCCTTGCGGGTCCTGTTGGGCTTGGGTTTGGATACATGAGGCAAGTAATATCCACTGTTGTTTATCCATGATTTTATGAAGCATGTAGTTGTTATGTGGGTATTTAACCTCTTCCTTGCACTCTCTCTCTTTCAGTGCAGAAGGAAATAATGTTCTTCCTTCTATTAGCCCTGCTTTGTCCAGCTCTCTCCTGATTGTCTGTGTAAGTTGAATCTCAGAAAATTTTATAACCCAGTTTAACTAAATAGCACTCAAAACTCCCTCTTTTCCTCCACCCACCCACATCCCACTTATATGCGCTTGAGAATACTGATGTGCATTTAATAAAAACCACTTCAGTGTCTCATCTATACTTTTACCAGACAATCAAGGGCTTCCTATTCTGGTCAGTAAGTAAACTCTATTCTAGAGCTTCTTCAATATTACATTCCAATGGCTTATTTATTTTTTTAATGCTTTGTTTAGGTGGAAGTCTGCTATCATTAGGAGTTTCACTCGGGTTATTTCTGCAGTGGATCATCCAGGTCTACCTCCCTCCACATAACTCCTCCCCCTCTCCAGAGGGAAAAATGTATTCATAATTATGACATGATGCATGAAGCTTCTATGTTTCAACCCTAAAAGCTCTTGAATTCTTCTGATTTATTATATTATGAACATGGCATGCTTTGAGAATCAGACCATGGTGCTTAGGGGACGATGGTGCAGTAATATTCCACATTCCTTAATTACTGCCTTGACAAGTGGAGATGTTCATGAGGTAAATGCTTAAGATCCTTTAATCAGAAGCTGATTGCAGCTTTTCCCACATCTTATTTTGATATTTTGTTGCAGTTCTTCACATTGCTGATACCAGCGACCATTAGTTCTGGCTTGGCACAAATTGCATCTTTTACAGACCTTTGTTTTGCATCTTTCATTCCTGGTGCTGCGGCTAGTCTCTCCTGTAAGTGATTGGTCCAAGTGCTAGTTTGAACTTAATATTGCATATATTATAAGATCTAGCCCCTTTTTGGGCTCCATTTTAATTTTAATGCATTTTTCTCTTTTTTCTTTTCAACCGTACATTTTTCAATAAAATAATATTACACGTAAACCCAAAATTTTCTTTACTTTTTAACCGCATATTCTCCAAAAAAATTACTATTCCAAAATACATTTTTCCCAAAATCTCATTAAAATGGATCCCAAACAAGGGCCTAGGTTGATGCAATTGGTCTGCATTGATTTGTGAACCTCTAAACTGGTCACTTGTAGCAGTTATTCCATTATAGTCAGGCTTTGACTTGCTGGAAAGATGTTCCTTTCTAAGCACGAATCAAGAAAGCAGATATAAGACATACTATAAGTCAGATAGAGACTGTTTTCTTTTCTTTTCTTCATTAGTAGTATTATTATAATTATTTTTGGAGAGGTGGGGGTGGGGTGTTCAAATGAATTTAGCACTTATGTCATATCGAAACTCCAGTTAAAATTTCCTACAAAAGACTTGCTCTGGTCAAAATCAGCTTTAGTGACCATTAACAGTCAGAAAATCACTTACTGCAGTTATATTAAGTGCTTCTGTGGATGTCTTGACAGATCATCTTAGAAACAAATGCATCAATCACTTAAGCCCTCAAAAATCTCTAATCAACCCGATCTAGTTGCCAGTGAGAAACAGATGCACAGATCAATTCATAGGATTGATACATCATAATAGACTGCATGCTTTGTTTCTTGCTTAATTGCCTGCTACATATTTTCTAATACATCTTTTATGTGATTTTCAGATGCATATCTTATGGTCATGGCTCCAGTGGGCGTGCTTTCGAGCATAGTTGTGCTGCCTCTTTTACCTTCTATCTCGAAACTGGCGAAGGCACTCCTAAAATATTCACCTTCCTTTTCATTGATTTGGCAATGTTTCTATAGCAATTCCTTTTGCTTCTTTAGGTTAATGATTCTCTTTTTTTAAATTTTTGGCAGACCGCATCCTGGGAGAGCTTAATGGAAAATTTAATGAAATCTTTGCTACTTTGCATGGTTGGTTACACGTGATATGGGCTTACATTGATGGAAATTCTGATTGTAGAATTCACATAGAAAATCATCATTCTCAACTCTATTTCTATATCTGTCAAACGTGTGTAGTAAACTTATCCAAAAATAACAAATTTTCCGTAAGAAATTCAGCTTACCAGTTTTTCCAAGTTTTATATTTATTTTCTGAATTTCCCACCAATATATCTCACTTCAGTTTTCTGAAGTTTCTTTTACTTGATAAAATCTTCAAATGTGGATAACTGCCAGACTGATTGGAGGGCATTTTGACTTCTAAGTTGTGTGAATGGATTTATTTTCCATGAGGTTGATTTTTGCCACCAGAAAATATTCTCCATAACAATTTGGAATGGTGTCACTGCACTTACTACTGAAGTTTTATTAACTAATTTGTGACCTAATGAAGAAAGAAAGATTTCTTTAACTATAGAATGGTAACATGATATGGCCGTGTTTCTAACACCTTTCTTACATGTTTGCTTATGATGCAGGTAGTTCTCTTGCCCATTTTGTCAATCATGTGGATCCTGGCAGAGCCAATCATCCATTTTTTGTTTGAACGCTATGCATTTGATTCTTCAGCTAGTGCTCTAGTATCTTCCCTCTTCGTTGCTTGTGAGTGTCCATATGATTCTTTATTTCAGAAATTTTTGAAAATCCACTAATTCCTTAAATTTTCTTACTTCACCACTTGTATATTTAGTGCTAATATAGACTGAATTTCTATTTTTCTTTACTCTTCTTGTTAGATACCTGAATTTTTTCTAGCGGCCTATACATCTTAATACCAATAAATCTCTAATGGCTATCTGACGTAGTATGCAATTGAATTAGAACTGAATTAGAACGAGGCTTGTAGGAGAAGGGGAAAGAAAGGGGAAGAGAGGGAGAAAGAGAAGAAGAGGGAGTTATAAAGGGGAAATGAATGAGAAGACTGAATTATTAGAGGGAAGAAAATATCAATTTATTTGATAATGAAGTCTAACTATTACAATGCATGAGCTCCTTTTATACAGGTTTCAAGCAAATTTAATTTAAGAAACAACTAATAAAGTGCTAGAAATTCTTTATATGATATATATCTAATAGATGCTCTATGCAATCATTTTAATCCTTTTTGTCTTAACAGATTCCTTCAGCGCACCATTCTTCATCATCAGAGACCTGTTAGTCGCAGTGTTTTATGCCCTTGGTGATGGGAAGGGACCTTTCCTGGTCAGTGTAGGTTCTATTGCTTTGAATGCCATTTTGAACTGGCTTTCAGTCTCCAGATATCACCTAGGTGCACGGGGACTGGTATGTTACCTCGTTTATGAGAAGAAGGACAAGTGTCATAACGAGACAGTTTCTAACTGCATTATTTTCATTTATTCAGGCGCTCTCAACGTCATTTTCAGCTGCAATGTCGGTTGTTGTTATGTTCCATCTCCTCCAGAAGAAGCTGCCTGGTAAATATAACTTTTAGCTACACGCTTCTAGATATGTATTTTAACTCCCGAAAAAAATGTCGCAGGAATGTCAAATTATGCTGCGTTGATCCGTACCATTATGCTACTACATTTTTGCTGCATCACATCAAGCTTCAGTACATCAATTGGTTATAAAATGACTTGCAATATGTTAAATTCAACCTTTCAAACAAGGTATCTTTCTTTTTTATAAAAGCTCCAATGACATTTTCCAGCCGATCAATTTCAGCACAATTTTTTTCTTAGGTTCTTTATGTCTAAAGAGCTCCTTGCCATATCGTTAGCAAGTGTTGTCGGAATTATTGGCTTCTTTCTTCCTGTTGTGCTGCTATATTTTTCCGGGTATGAATGCGTAAAGGATTTGTATAGGATACTGATGAACCAAAAATCATTAAGACAGACCAGTGGCTGAAATCCCGAGTAATTCGACCTAAATTTATCCTAGATGAAAGCTTGGATGCCCAGATGATCCATTTGAAGGTTGAGGGCCTAAATATTCTTATGGCTGGGGATGCAAGATGTCATGTACCCGCAGATGGGCCAGTTGGCTTCGTACTGAACATGTGGGCAATTAGGATTTCATTTTCTGACACAATCACCTATAATCCACTTCTCCAAAGGCCCAGCTCACAGTTTTCGTCACTGTACATTAAGTAAAAGTTAATTGTTGGGATTTATTTTGAAATCATAATTATTTTTAAGGTCATAACACGATGAAGTTCATCCTGTTGTCTCCAATTTTTAAGTTATTATGAAAATTTTTACGTGCTCGTTTTCCAAATTTTCATGGAATGTTAGTGTGAAAAAGAAATTGGGTTCAACTTGTTTTATTACTTGTCTCAAAAATGATTCTAAGCAACTTGCACTTGGTTCAGTTTGTCACTCCTGTTCTTCATGTGAGGGGGTGTTTGGTGGGGGATTAAAATTAGATTTTTAATAGATTGTGATAGAAGATTTTGAAATGTCTGGTTGAAAAGCTGTGAGACCCATGAAAGATGTGGTTAATATTAAAGTAGTTGGATTTTGAGAATGGTTAAGAGGGGTTCGGTATGGATTAAAGTTCAAATTTTAGTAGATTGGGATATTAGTTTTTGAAATGTGTAGTTGAAAAGTCGTGAGATCCGTGAAATATATAGTTAATATTAACTGTTTGACTTTAACTTAAATTAAAATTAGATTTTAATCTGGATCAAACAGGGCGTAATATTTTTACTTTGATCCAAAATCAGCATCTGACATTTCAATCTGAAAATCAATCAATTTTTGCTACAATCAGCATCCGACATTTCACCTCAAATGACAAATTACGGGAAATAAAAACTCCCAACGTTTTAGTGCACAAAAAGTAGTGCGTAATAATAACAAAGGTTCTTCAGCTTGTAGAATTCACATTTACATAAAAAGAAGCAATGCAGAAATCAAGAAACACTGGATAAATTCTTCGAAACGATGAACATTCAATGAGGTAACAGGATGCAAATTTAACATCCCTTATCATAATGCTCATACCGAGGCATATGCCTAACGTAAGAAATGGTACAACTCCCTAAGAAACAACAAAATTGCCTTTCTATTCACCCCACATACTCCCTATATAAACCAGCTAGTGCTCAACTCTCTACACAGGTCTCCAACCAATTCTCATCTAAATATCCAGCTCTGTGCTTATATACACACACTAAATTAAGAATGCCGACAACCGTGGAGGACGTCACTGCAAAGGCGGAGATGTTGGAGATAGAACCCAAGAGTGGGGTTGATTTGAAGCCAACAGTAGTCGACCATAAGGACAATGAGGCCGAACCCAAGGTTGAACTCAATGGGGATGGTTCTGTGGAAAAGGAAGGAGAAGAGAACAAGAAAAACGAGGCTAAGGTGGATGAAGTGTCAGTGCCTGATGAAGTTGAAACCAAAACTGGGATTTCTTTTCCAGGTAAGTTGGATGATGGGAAGCTGCTGAAAGCTGTTGGTTTGAGAAAGAAGAGCATGCTTGGCATGGGCATCAAAATTTACGCCTTTGGTAATTTACTACTTCTCCACCTACCTACTCAGTATGCACCCATTGTTTTACCTATCTTGAATCACATATATTATTTTGTGCCTAGGATACTAGAACATGCGTGATTTATCCGAGGCCAACGACTTAAGGTTGTTTGCTCGAAAATAAATTTTCTCCCTACAATACTAAGCATCTTGCCAGGATAGAACGAATTTTCTTCACGCAGGAAGAAGCGTCTCGATCACTAATTGACTGAAAGGTAATGTATGCTGATATGTGTAATTGTCGAATTGCAGGGATATATGCAGACAATGAGAAACTGAGAGAACTTGTAACAGCAAAAGTTGGGAAAGCACCATCCAAACCAACTAAGGAAATGTATCAANAGTCTTACCAACTCTATCTGTTTGCTAAAGGATAATGGGCGAAGCATCGGACGAAATAAAGCTCACACCGGGTTCTACTATTGACATATCTAGGCTTCCAGGTTACACTCTCCAAACAAAAGGTAAAGAGATGGTAAATTTTCATCTGCTGATTAAAAAGTATGAACCTTCAAGCATCTCACTCTATCTTATGGAAAATGCAGTTATGGGTGAGATTGTGAGCACAGTCGAAAGTGAACTACTCTGCAGGGCTTACATTTACATGTATTTGGGGGAAGATCCTTTTGACAAAGAAGCTAAGGAAAAGTTTGGGATATCCCTTCTTTCTCTTTTCTGAGGACTTGGTCCTATCTAGGTTCTGTTAGGAATAAGACACAAGTCTACTCTGTAGCACCTAATAATTGATGAATAAGGAAGTAATAACGAGAAAGATGTTCTGGAAAATCCTACTCGTTCAAGGTTTCAGCTCTTTCAAAGTAGCTCTGAAAATATGTACCAAGCTACCAATATCTGCTCATTCCTATATATATGAACAAACATATAATATATGCATATGGATGAATTCTATCTACTTTGAATTTTAAGAGTCAAATCAACTTAAAGAACAGCCACCAAAGAGTATTATCATATCAAATATTAGACAGGATGAACATTTCTTTTTCAAGTTAAATACAGAAATAATATGGCACATCCTCATAATCGGTAAACGGGAAATTAGCAAGCTCATTGTTCATTTTCCTACTATGATTTGCATATAAAGCAAAATGAATAATATTATACATAACTCACAATGCTAAACTCAGTATGATCAGCTAAAGCCATGAAGGACTTTATGAGGATCCAATTGTCCACTGCAGTAACTCGAGGACACAGTTGACAGCTCTTGACGGCCTTTCCACTCTTCAGAGGGTTTCAAGATGATTGCATTTTCAATAGCAGCAGAATCTACACATAACATAGTTTTGTAGTCCTCATCGCCTAAATCTGGAAGAGCCTTTGCTTTTTTGTCCCAAGGGTTCCATACAACTGCACATCATTGTCAAACACATTGCACTCGTAGTACACTCATACAAGCAACTAACTAAAACTTTAAACCTCAATAATAATATGAAAATTAGACATAAACCTGCATCTGGCATTCCTTCTTTACGCAGTACATAGGTTCTCTTCTTCTCATGGTCTATTATGGCTATCTTTGTTGGTGTGCTCAAATACACCCTGTCAATCTATAAAGAACCAGAAAACAAGCTTACAAATGTTTGGAATGGTCTAAGTTCCAAAAGATCAATATGTACAGAATCGTCTAAGTGTAAGGTATAACAAAGGACAGTACTGAATCAGGATAGTGCATCTACCCCAATGTGGTCCTGACATGCACGGCGAAGAAATACTAGAAAAATGCAAGGTAGTACCTGGCCGTCAAAGGTAATTGCATCTGCCTGCTCTGTAAATCTTCCTTTCTGCAACAAATTATCGAGGTAGTCAAGTGTCTCCAATCCCTCCACACGCACTTCACTGCAAATCAAACGGCATCATGGAACCTATCTGAAAAGGATAATAAAGTATCTAATAGATTTAGCATTGAAAAAAGAACAAAAAATTAAAGGAATTTCTCATCAATATAAAACTAATAACATAAGAATGCTATGCATTGGCAACGAAATAACTCAACAAAAAGTTAAAAATAGATTAGCAATAACATAATTTAACCTAATATGGAAGAATAAGTTGAAAAATAATGACGCAAACCTGATATCAGATACAGATAGATAATTACGCAAAACAAATGTGAATGAAAAGGCCTTGCTATCAGTATTTAGCACTCGAGGAATCAAGGCGAGCTTGTTGGCACTCAGAGAAATTTGTAACCGCAACTCAAATCTTCAAAAAACACCAGAAGAAGCTTGAAGCTTAGATAAGAATTTCCCATACTGCTATTAAGTATCATATCTTTCGCATCCTTACCTGTGTGGCCAAATCTTCAAATCCTCTTCTGTGGATTTCAGAATAAGATCCACAGTAGACTGATTGTTAGCTGGGGGCAGAGGGGAATCATCAAATGACCATAGTCTATTCCTTGCAAATCCATGTTGCTCCAGCGAATCAAAGTTCGAAAACTACAATATGAAAGTAACGATAAGAATGCATAGCTCCAGTCCATAAGGTGTAGAAGTCTATTTCCAGTTAAAGTTGGTAGTTAGTTAACCTGGGGAAAGCAAATGGGGATACCACCCCTGATGGACTTAGGTGGTTTCGATAAAACCTGCGGGATAGAGAGAGATGTATATTTATCATTAATTATAAAAATTCTTGATAAATAGAGTAGAAAGACACAAAACTTAGAAAGTATTTTTGTGCTCAGCATAAATTGAAGACAGAAAAAGGCATGGCCTGCACTTAGGCAACCTAGACACATTTCTTCATAAACGGAATTCCATCTTGTAATCTGGGTTTAGAAGGAATATGAAAAACGTTTATTGAAGACATTTCAAGGCAAAAAAGAAGTCACGCACTGTCTTTCTGTCAAGTAATAAAGTAGTTTATTCTTTCACATAAAGTAAAAAACAGTAATGAGAGTTGGAGTTTAAAGAGAAATGAATGGTAAGTTGGTAACATACTTTTTGATGCAACTTTCATGGATCCGAAAGAAAGGAGAAAAAAAACACTGTGGAAAAGGTAAAATGTCAATAATGCTTTTAAAATACCAATCAGGGACATATTTATACTATTTACTGGTGTATTGAATGGGCAATTCCATGAAAATTCAATTACATATAGTAATCTCCATCCATTTTAGGTGTGAAAAGAACTTGCTTTGCCACCCTAAAATTTCTACCAAAAAAATGCGTGGACATACATTCCCAGACAAAAATAGTAATCCATCCAAATGTCAGATTTCAATTTTGAATATCTACTCCAAAAGACTTTATTTAGAATTGCCTAAAACATAATTATTAGATCTCAAACACACCAACAAAATAAGTTCACCTTGCTGCTCCTGAAAAGCAGCTCTTCACTTCGTTTATTCTTCCAAGAGACAACTTGTGCACCATACAGAAGCACCTAGAGAAACAAGTGAACATGCAGAGTCAAATATTCATCCAAAATTTTGTACTAAAATCAAAATAATAGCAGTTCGTGGACTGAGTATGCTGATGCAAGCACCAAAGTAATTATTTAGAATATCATAAATTTTTTTGATGAATTTGGATTCAAATGGAACTTTAGTTTTTCTTATATATTTCAACTTCCAGTTCCTTTAAATAGTAACTTATGTTTCCAATACAAAGCAAAAAAACATACATATGTGAAAAGAACAGTGCGAGCAATTGCAGTTTTATGAATCAGAACAAAATAAACAAACTACACACAACATGAAATACAAAACCAACTTATTCCAGTCATGTGTAATACTAACCAAATCATAAGGCTAAAATAGAGAAAAGGAAAATAAAATAAAATCGACAAACCTCAGCTGTTGAACCAGTGGGCTCAATCAATATAATTCGAGGCGATCCATCACCATCCAGAATCATGTTCACCGGCATCCTAATTTTCCTAAATTTCTCTCTCAAAATCCTCCCAAGTGGGTACACTACCTTTCCTCCACTCCAGCTATATACAAAAACACACAAAACCGAAAATAAATATATGACGGAGACACGAAGGGAAAAATTCAAAACGGTAAACCATATCTCATATTATAATAATACTGTAAACATAATTGAGCACAAAAATGAAAATAAAAAATGGGAAGAGATGAAGTAATCATGCGTTTTCGTGCACAAAAAATCTATAATCAAAGAATTTAATAAAGAATCGGTTTCGAGTTTGAAGAACAGGCAACCAACTTCGAGCTTACGACATACAACTCCATCATCATACATACATAATATAATACAAATTACATCACAATCTATAATCAATAGAATAAGGAAATTCATACAGAAAATTTGGATAACTTCCGATGAATTTATACGAGTATTAAACATACAAGTGATTTTTGTCATCGGATTCTTTGTGGATTATGGTCTATTTAAAGCTAGCAATCGGACTCACTAACACTCACTAGCTTTACTTGGGATTTTGGCGGCTTCTAGCCAGCCAGAAAAAAATATAGTACATAGATGGTCCAACAAACGCCGACCTTTTTATCTACTTTTGGTTGTTGGCGTAACCGAATATTCTACCCTCACTGGGTCCCACGAGCCGAGACATATCCAAATATAAATCCTGTTTGATTTTGATAAATATAATATTTTTAATAAATTTTAATTCCAATTGATTAAATTCATGTTAGACTTTAGTTGGATTACGACAATTAATTTAATTACATATTTATGATTTACTATAAAAAATGAGAATCGCTATCAAACATGCCCTAAGTATGTTGTTAATAAAAGTAGTGAATCAAGTACATTTTTAATTAAATTAATTCCATGGCCCTCAGGTGATGGCGTCTTATGCAGGTGATCACTTTTGTATAGAATAATACTTCTAAACCGACGGTCATAATCTAACTACTTTTCAAATGATAAGATTAATTGACTAAAATTGTCACTTAATAAAGAAAAAATCCAAAATGCCAAGAATGTACCTAAGCACATTCTCAAGGATACATGTCGTAAGGCTCGTCCGCTATAAACAAACATTTTTAAATTTTCATTCAATTTATGCCCAAAGATTTTGCAACAATCTAAAGGTCCGTTTGATTGCAAAAATGAAATTTGGGTGGAAAGAAAATGAAATTCAGGGAATTAAATTGACTAGAACTTTTTTTATTGGGAACTGTCAATTAATTATATTTGATTGATATAATTTTCCACCTGAAAAATATTGAAATTTTGGATCTTTTGGTGTTCGTTTGACTTTGTTTTCCATGAAAAGTGTCCATTGAGAGGATAAAATTTGTTTTCATTGCCAAATAAAAAAAAAAGTTGCCTAGAAATTTTTTTCCTCAAAACCCAAGAAAATGTGAGTATGTGGATGAAAGATGGAAAAACAATTTCATGAAAAATGTGGATAATCAAACATGCAAAAAAAAAGTGGAAAATGAAATTTAATTTTCATCTTCCATGAAATTAAAGTACAATCAAACATGGCCTAAAAGTTTTAGGGACAATCCGAATGGAGACGAGCCAATAGGGACAGCGGTAAGGGGAGTTCGAGTCGGCCTCCAAGGCAAAATGAAACCTAAAAGACACCACAAAAAAGACCCTAAGGCCTAAACCCCTCGAAGCCGATCAATTGAATAAACAAGGACCCTGGATGAATTACGATCCAAAATGAAAGAAAGACCTTAATCCCAGCAAGCATGAATAAACTCGCGCGCTTTTC